TCCCCCCCCACTTCTCTCAGATGGCAAAAATTAAGATCCATATGCTATGGCAGCATAGGGTGCAGCAGTTTGCAACTCTTTCTCAAGTACTGGGCGTACTTGCAGTTTTTCTTATAGAATGACATTTGTACTTGCCAAGTAGTACAGTTGTATATGCTTAGTGATAAATTATAAATTCTGTGTTGTTAAATCAGTTTTAAAAAAACAACACCTTAGCTTTAATAGGAAAGTAAGTATTGCATATCTTTAGTTTTGGGGGTTTTTTTGCAACATTTTTGTTTTTTCCCCCCTGAGGGGAAACTGGGAAAAATGTGACATCCCCCCCCCCATGGCTTCAAACGTTTTGGAAATTTTACATCTCTTGATAGCTTTGCTAATAGGAGACAAAGGAGAAGCCATTGTTTGGCCTGGGCGAAATCTGCAAGTCATTACTTTGTTTGTTTGTTTAGATTCCTAGCCCGGCCTCCCCTGCACAGCAGGGCTCAGTTCTGCTCCCTTTTGTAATAAAGCTACCTCAGTCTTTCCTTCAGTTTTGAATGGTGAGATCAGTGGCCATCAGCTGCTACTTAGGCAAAAGGGAAAGGACTGCAGAGTCAAAATGCGGCTGTAAGCCAACATCCAAAGACCAGGGAAACACGAAAACTTGTTTTTGTTAAGGAGGCCTTTGCACCTTGATCTACATTTTGGTATATTTTCCATCTCGTTCTCGCTTTCTCTCAGTTCCTTATTCCACATTTCCAGAATTCCAGCTCTGTAGATGTCTGTTTCAACCTCCCCCCCCCCCCCCCCCAACAAGCTGTGTATCTAATTAAGTCTTGGGTAGGGGGGAAGCACTTTAAAAAGAGTTTGGGAGGGAAATCCCTAACAAGAAAGAGTGACCCTGTTATTTCTTCAGTAGAAGACTCCATCAAAGCAAAAGCTCCCAACTCCCCGAGTGCGGCGTGGGTGCCGCAGCCTAGACCTACACCACCAACCGGGAGAGACCTGAACGCTTGGAACCGGCTCAAGGACCAGCCTTTGGGTAGGAAAAACATTTTGCACAGATGACCAGTCGCGGTCAGCAGAACACAATGACTGCCAAATTGTATTCTCTCTCTCTCTCTCTCTCTCTCTCTCTCTCTCTCTCCCCTTTTTTCCCTTTTTTTTTACTCTCTCTCTCTCTCTCTCTCTGCCCCCTTTCCCATAGTAGATTACTCACAAGCTCGCTACACATTCTGTATCTGGTTTTGAGGGGAATTGAGGCTTTGGCTTTCTTTGATATGTGTATATAAACAGGAAAGTTAAAGGATTTGGATGCAGTCATGAACAACTCCAAAACTCTGCCTTATTCACCTGACTTACAATTTTCTCGGCACTGATTTTTCCAGACTTTCCATACGAACAGTGCAGTCATTTTGCAGAGTTGCTCCAATCTAAGCCCAGTGAAATCAATGTGCTTAGACTGGGGTAACTGTGTAGGATTGTGCTGTAAGAGGTTTTAGAGCCCATTTGTGTGAGTTATTTATTTTGAGGTATAGCATGCAGATCTAGTGGGTTAACTGACTAGATCTCATGGTGTGATGGTGGACAGTCACAGCTGACATATGGTGATCCTGTAGGGTTTTCAAGGCAAGAGGTGGTTTGCCATTGCTTGCCTCTGCATAGCGACCCTGGACTGCTTTGGTGGTCTCCCATCCAAGTACTAACCAGGGCTGACCCTGGTCAGCTTCCAAGAGCTGACAAGATTGGGCTAGCTGGGGCCATGCAGGTCAGGACATCATGGTGCCAGTTTTGTTTTTCTTGCTGGTGTAAGAGGGAAGATGAGGACCCCCCCCCCTTTGAATGACCCGAAAAGGTTATGTAAGGGATGGTAGGACCCCTGTGGACAAAAGTAATGTAGGACAGAGACTGCAATAATGAAAGAAACTGGGTGAAGGCAAGAGGAAAAGTTGGTAGGATCCAGCCTAACACCTTTTTGCTTCAGGGCAGATTCTGATTTACAAACTCTGCCTGGCAGGTGCAATATCTAGCTTAGCTTTCATTGCTTTTACTACCCCATAGCAAGTTAACAAGGGTGGTTTGGCTCCAGTGAGGAAGCCTTAAACATATGAGCCACTGCTATGGCCTGAAGATCAAACTACAGTGACAGATCTTAGTGATATTTCCCCCCCCTCTGGTGAGAGAGAGGGAGAGAGGCCTATTATGCACAGATTTCACAGTGCATGTCAGTCAGGTTGTCTTAGGCCCCTGCCACACGGGGGGGAAAAAGAATGGCCAAAGTGCGGCTTTTTAGAGCCTCACCAAAAGAGACACGCAGCAGCAGGATCAGATAGATCCCCTGAGCCGCCGCGCAGTTCCTCCCCGGCACAATCAGCTGCCAATGGGAAGCCACTGAAGGGAGAGCGAGGCAGCCGAACTGCGCATGTGTGCGTATGCGCAGTTTGGCCGGGAGCCTCAATTGCTCCGGAAGATGAGCACGACGGCGATCTCATGGCCGCACTTGCTGCGCCATTTCCGGTAAGTCCTGCTCTTTTGCAGGTTCTTTTTTGCAGCGGGTTTTCCGGCTGAAGGGACGGATCGGGGACGGGTATGCGCCGCTTCCCAGATGTTGCGGTTTGATCGCGCCCGTTTGCTGCGCCCCCGATCCATCCCTCTTCCGGGCCAAAACCTCCCGTGTGACCGGGGGCCTTAGTCCTTCTGAATTGATTTTCCTCCCTTCAGTGCTCAGTTTGCTTTCTGGTTGCTGTTTCCTTGCACTTTCTGAGAGTGCTTTTTGTGCTGATTTCCCACTTTTTTCACTTTCAAGCCGAAGGTAATTCAAAAATGTACAGATTCCCTCAGATTGTCCCCCCCGCCACCCCTCGAAGGTCACTTTCCTGCCCACATTGTGGTCGTTCCGCCCACTCTGCATCTTCCACCATCCTCCCCCCTTCATCGGTGTGCAAGCTCCATTTCCCCTCATGTTTTTTTTTTACAAGCGGCATGAGTCTAGCAATTTGAGACTATCACTTGTCTTGGATCGCTGAATTACAAAAAATTTAAATGTTGGGGGGGAAAGTTGAAAAGGAGGTACATGAGGTTTAGTTCTCTGGTGGTATTGACTTGAAAGGGGGGATTGGAGAGGAGGCAAATGGCAGTGTCCCCAGTGCAAAAAAAGAAAAAGAAAAGAAAAGAAAGGATTTCAGTGCCGCATGCAACCAAAATAAAGGGAGGATCGTCAGCACAGAATGAAAGTAACATGAGATGTAAAGAGAGAAAGATGCTGGGGTGGGAAGCAGTGTTCCCTCTAAGCTGAGTTAGTGTGAGCTAGCTCACAGTTTTTTAGCCTCCGGCCCACACATTTTTGTCTTAGCTCAGGAAGGGATGGCTCCAGAGCAAACTAATTGATGCAGGAGCCAAATTGCTCGCTCACAACTTTAATGCCAGGAGCTCACAAAGTAGCATTTTTGCTCACAAGACTCCACAGCTTAGAGGAAACATTGGTGGGAAGTCTAAAGCTTTGAAAACATTTTTCCCTTCAATGCTTTGAAAACATTTTCCCCTTCAATGCTTTAGTGAACCAATTGGGGGGGAAGGGACACCATTTTGGCAGTCTCCAGAAGCCTAACATTAAAACAGCGGCTGAGCCACATGAACCTTCTGCAAACCGCCGAACTTAAGAATCACTTGGGATTGATCCATTTGGAGGACAAAGGGTAGTCAGCACAGGACAGGCTTTTAAAAATGGCTAAGATCACAACTAGTGTGCAGGATCAAATTAGAGAATCACAAAACCATGCCAATTTGCAAGGAAGGGCAGGAAATTAGCGTTACTGTGCAGCTGCACTATGGCATCAGCAAAAATACCCCACCCCCTTTCAGTTTAGTAGCACAAGACTAAAAAAGCTCTCCAGAGGTTCTGCCAGAGGACTCCTCCCCCATAGAGATTGCAGCCCTGTGCAAAGCGTGGTGGAGTTGCAGCCAACTTTGCACAGGTGTGAGCGCACGCGCGCACACACACACGTTGCCAGCAATCACAGCTTGCAATGCTAGTGTCAGTGGGTTCTACTGTGTACTCTGTACACTCAACATGTTCCCCCCATATTATGAGATCGTATGACTGTTTCCCATTTTTCACAGTGGCCAATATCACAGTAGAGAATCCCCTAGAGCTCACTTGGCAGCTGCTTGTCAGTTTCAAAGAAAGTCCTGTCAATTTCAACATCGAGTTTCCCCCTTTGCTTGCTTTCTGTTCCCTTTCAATGAACTAATGTTAAAATGCATGCACAAAATCTGAACCACGAGGTTTTCAGTGGAAGGTGATTGCTGGACACCACTGTGCAGCTGCGATACGGCAATTGCATAATTAAAAAAAAACTTTGGACACCCCCTCTACATGTCACAAGTGACGTTCCACATTGATTTAGAATATTGCATTTTTATATTGTAGCTGCAGAATAAATACACCAGTGGAAAAAGAATGGTGCGTAAGGTGAGCATAGAATCTGAAGTCAAGATTAAAGGCTTACTGCTCTGAAAATCTGCAGTAAGATGTGCGTGCGTAATGGGCCAGAGTTTATTTGTTGTTCTTCTCCAACCCCCTGCTCTGGATGCAAGACACCTCTGTGTGAGAGCTTTATTAATCAGAAATGCCTCCCGCTTCCTCGCTTTCCCTCTTTTGCCGCTGCCAAAAGCTGGTGGTGTTGGAGCACAGTGGCTGAGCTTTTGAAAAGGCTGCGTCTGGGTTTATTTAGTTCGTAAAAGGGAGAGTTGTTCTGTGTCCTAGGGCTTTGGGGAGCTTTTCCCCTCCGTCCTGGTGGCAAGGCAGAGCATTTAGCAGAGCCAGCGCTTGCAAAATTTCCAGCGTGATTTGATTATTATTATTTTTAAATGGCATTTTGTGAAAGGAAAAACTATATGAAATTTCTTAGCTTGGGGCTTGTTGGACACTGCTTCCTTCCCCACCCCATAAACATCTCCCCTTATGCTTTGCTTGTTTTCCCCACTGGCATTTATACAAGTTACTTCTGACTCAAGTTGTACTATTCTTTCATGAATCATTTTTCCCTCCAGAATGTTCAGCTGTCTTTGTGAATGCGTAATACCTCACTACTTCTCAGTGTATATGTATATGAACATCTTGTGTATCTCACCCTCCCCAGTTTTGGATTGCACTGTAAGAGCTTTGTGCCTAGTATTGATACTGTGCTGGAGAGGTAGGTCTCTTGGTTTTTGAAATATACTGTTTTTAAAAAAAGAAACACACACACACACACACAAAGACTTCAGAACCCTTCTTTGGACTCCTTCTTTCAAAGCTGTCGTTTGACTTACTGTTGGCTCCATTTTAACTCAGTTGCCAGAGGAAACCGAACACGTTGTTAAGGTGAATAGCTCTTGGGGGTGTTGCAGACACAGAGTGAGTAACGGGGTTAGGTACCCCAGCTTTTCTGGAATAAAAAAGTAACAGGAATCTTGAAGTGCTTTTAAAGCACAGGAAGTTGAAGCAACTTTTCAGATGAAGTAGGCTGTAATCTACAGAAGTTTATGCTAGAATAAAATCTTCCTATGTGTTAAGGTGCCCTGACCTGGATGGCCCACGATAGCCCGATCTCATCAGATTTCGGAAGCCAAGCAGGGTCAGCCCTGGTTAGTACTTGGATGGAGACCACCAAGGAAGTCCAGGCTTGGTACGTAGAGGAAGGCATTGACAAAAACCTTGGTTTGTCTCTTGCCTTGAAAACCCTGCGGGATTGCCATAAATCAGCTGCATCTTGGCAGCACTTGCACTCACCACTGTGCTCTAGGGTGCCACAAGGTTCCTGTTTGTCTTTGCTGCAGTGGACTAAATAAAGGCTTACCCCTTAGGAATTATTCCCTCTCGTTTACTACCCTGCCTCTGTAGAGCAGGTGATGTTCTCAGTGATTATGTGCGAGACCTAGGCATCTTTCTCGTCTTCCTTTTAAGGGGATGGGTGTGCTGTAATGAATATTTTAAACAAGTGATGTCATGTTGTAGACGTGGCCCACATGTGTCCAGCTTTCTAGTAGACTAGGGCTCCA